ATTTTGTAAAATTATCAATATTTCAAAAGAATCAATCTTTAAGAATTTGACTATCTTAATTTTCAGAATGTTGAAAATTTTTTCCCTCTTACAGGTTTTAGATCATGATTAAATTTATGATACTCACCAACATGGTTTGCTTTACTGTATTTAGAATGTTTCACCAAAGATTGCTGTTCGAATGATTTTTTGTCGTGGGGCTATATTTCACCCCTCCTAAAGCTACTATTGCTCACCATTGGCTCATTGATAATTGTTGTACTTACGCCAAGATTTAAAACTCAATATCTCACATACTGCATGAATATGAATCACGTACCATAAAAAGGGCCTTCCACAAAGGCATCTGTCTCATAAGCAAATAGCTGTGTATGCTTTGCATTAATTAATCAAAAATTTTAATTTATTGATGCACTAAAATTATTTGGTAATTTTATATGCCATTTCTGTATTGCATCATGTACTATACTAATCTATCATGTACTATACTAAAAATTGGATTTTAGATTGTTTTAAAACATTTATTTTTATACTTCTTCAACATATGGATTTTTCTTTTTCAGAATTCCTAAAGATCCAACATTAAGAGAAGCATGGATTCAGGCAATACGGCGTAAAGATTGGAATCCTTCTGCAAATGCATTTCTCTGTTCTGAACATTTTAAAGAAGAGGATTTCAATAAAAGATACGCTAGCCACCTTATAACGCTTAAAAAGGGTGTTGTTCCGAGCATCTTTAAAGAATTTCCATCTTATTTGCAGAAAGTTCAAAAGGTATATAAGGATGTGTTTTATTTTTTAATAATATTAAAGCATAATTAACTTAAACACACCAATCAAGTATTAATTTAGAATTCAAACAAAATCACTGATTTTTGTTATTTAAATTCTAAATTAATATTAAAGAATGTTTGTATATGATTTAGTGATATATTATGAACAGTCCTCTTCTAATTAAATAACTGTCTACCACTGGTAAGGCTAGTGCTACGGTTTCTCACATCTGCTTGCAAATTCAGAAATAAAACCTTTGAGGAATTTTTAATTTTTACTTTCTTTGTGCATTGCGAGATTTGGAGGGCAGGGAGGAATTAATAATCTGTTACAAGTTTGTAAAATTTCTTTTAAATACTAAAGTCGACATATAATATTCATTTGATAGCTATTCAAGATTACAAGCTTATTTATTCTTACATCTGTTGCCCACCCAGGGGCGTAGCTAGAGGGGGGCAAGGGGGGATCTATCCCCGGGCACAGAATCCAAGGGGCGCCAAACTGATGTTACGACATTTTAGAATTAAATGTTTTCCATCCTTGGCAAGCAGTAGGGGGCGCGAAATCTTCAGTTGTCCTTGGGCGCTGAAAACCCTAGCTACGACTCTGTGCCCACCAGCGGCCGAGCGGTAAAGTCGCTGAATACTGGTAGTTCAGTCCGAGGTTCGAATCCCACGAACGGGCTAGCTGCATGGGCGTTTTCGTGGTTTTCCCCATGTGTAATGTGTGAACGAGCCAGTTTCCCTTAGAAAGTCCTCCACGAAGACATCCCTCCCCTTAGGCAGATAGCCCTCGAGGCTTTGCCATAATCACACACACACAGTTCTTACATCTATAGGTTGCTGTGATTTATTATTTTGTTTGCATTGAAATTGTCATGCCATATCCCAGTTTCTGTACATAAATTTTGATTCTTCATCTGTCATCACCATTACTGTCCCACCCCCCTCAGTTTCAAACACTTTCAATAGTATATGTTTGTTCTCTATTCCAGTAAACTGCTTTTACCTTTCAATTTTTTATAAAATAAGTTTACTCTTCTTTCTTTATCTTAGAAGTGTGCTCTTCAGAGACCTTTTTCGAAAGAATACGAGATTAAATTAGTGGATAAAATATGCATTTAAAATATATTTTATTGCAAAAGGTTTTTCCCTCATGTTTCATTTTAAAATAAAATTATCATAATTCATTAATTTTACAAAAGAAGACTCTTTGATTCATTCCCCGGGGTGTTCTCCTTCAAAATTGAGATGTGTCTTCTCCATTCTCTTGGATGTAAAATCAGTTCCCCGCTCTAACATTGAAAAGCATTTCTGGTGACGAGTCCCTCAATGGCTGATATATATTGGTAATCCAAAACTTCGTATTTAGCAAAATGTTTTAATTTATTGTAGCAACTAATTTTCATTAATATATTTCTCTCTGAATGCATGGATTCAGATTTTTTTTTTTAAATCAGTGTGAAACTCTATGTTATTAAACCTTGCTTTTTAAAAAGATTTTTAAAAATAATTTAATTTTTGAGAGGCCAAAAATTTTTTAAAACTGCATTCAAATAATCAATGTCCTACTGTGTAACTGATAAATGAACATATATATTTTTTAATACTTAATATTTGTAGATTTCCCTCTTTATACTGCAAAAGGAATAATGTATGTTACAAATAAAAAAATATTAAAATTACAGAAATTGTTAAGGCATTAGCTTTAAGCGCTTTGTCATAGCGATTAGCGCAATCATTACTTCTGCGAATATAAGAACATAAATGTAGAACATCACCTCCACTGTGATTATTAATTATCTCAAGAGACGATTCACTGTATATATTTAGATCAATAAGATGTTAAATAAGCTGTTCTAATGTACGTAAGTATTTCAGTGCTAATTTTTTTTTTTTTTTTTTTTTTTTTCCACAGACTAAGAAAGTTCCATTTAAGAGACCTGCTCCTGCCAACTCAGAAACTAGAGAATTCATAGCTGATGAAACATGCAGTAATACAGAAGATTCTCCTGTAAAAAAAACGTTGAAAGTAAAACTGACGAAAACTTCTTTGCAACTCAAGAAGGCAAAAATTCAAGTTAAAGGGCTGCAACAAACAAAAAACGACGCTTACAAAAGCGATTGCTTTCGTATAAAAATATTCTACTCGAATTGAAAAATAAAAATTTAATTATAGATGAGTACTTTGAACTTTTGAATAACATTCCAGAAATTTCCAAAGAAATTAATTTACGTCTTAAGAAAAAACATAACAAATACTCCCCCAACTTCGTTCTTTTGCATTAACTTTAAATTTCTTGTCACCCAAAGCATACTGTTACGTCAGAAAGCAATTTGACACTGGGTTACCACATCCACGTACCATTTCTAAATGGTATGAAAGTTTAGATGCATCACCAGGATTCTGCAAAGAAGCTTTAGCAGCTTTGAAAGCAAAAAGTTCAACAAGTCAGTATCCAGTATTCTGTTCATTAATTGTTGACGAAGTGGCAATTCGACAACATGTAGAATGGAATGGTGAACAGTATGTTGGATATATTGATATTGGAACACATTTAGATGGTGACGAAAGGTCTGTTGCAAAAGAAGTTTTTGTACTATTGGTAAATTGTATTAATAGTAACTGGAAGCTTCCAGTAGGCTACTTTTTTACAGCTGGATTAAGTGGAGAGCAGCGTGCATCAGTTATTCTTAATTCCTTAAGATGGTTAAGTGAAGCAAATGTTAATATGGTTAGTCTGACATGTGATGGTGCCGTTTCAAATTTCTCAATGATGAAAAATCTAGGCTGCAGTTTTGAATTGGACGATTTTAAAACTTTCTTCCTCCATCCCACAACACAGCAACCCATATATTTCTTCCTGGATCCTTGCCATGCTTTAAAATTGGTAAGAAATACTTTTGGGGACAAAGGTGTTCTAATTGACTATGAACATAAAATAATTCAGTGGGAACACATAGTTAATTTAAATAAATTACAAGAAGAAGAGGGCCTTCATTTGGCAAATAAATTGAAACGGCACCATGTATTTTGGAAAAAAACAACCAATGAAAGTAAATTTAGCTGCACAACTTTTTAGTGATTCAGTAGGTGATGCTCTGCAGTTTTGTTTAGAAAAAGAAATTCATGGTTTTCAAGATGCATCAGGCACAATACGATTCATCAAATTATTTAATAGGCTATTCGATATTTTAAATTCCAGAAGTATTCACCAGGCTTCCTATAAAAAAGCAATGTGCACTGAAAATTATTCCACAATTTTACAATTCTTCAGCGAAGCAAAGTTTTACATTGAAAACCTTTCTGGAAGAGAGAAAACACCTCTAGTACTTAGCAACAGAAAAACAGGTTTTTTAGGATTTTTAATCTGTATTGAAAGTAGCAAGGGGAGTGTTCGAAAAATTAGTAAAGAAAGAAGAACTGAAGTATATACCATTGTACAAATTTAATCAAGATAACATAGAGCTTCTGTTTGGGTATATAAGATCAAAATTTGGCTGCAATAATAATCCAACTTGCAGGCAATTCACTTCTGCTTTTAAAAAAAATTCTTGTTCATCAAGAACTAGAAATTAATAAAAATGGAAATTGCTCGGCAATAGAAAACTATAAAATCCTTGTATGTTCTTCACACAAAAATCCAACAGAAGGCATAAATAAAAGTAGCCGAAGAAATTTCATATTAGAAAATGAAGAAACAACTCATAATGATAATATATTGGCTGAACATGATTACTGTCTTTCTTTATATTTCCGGCCTAGTGAATATTTAGAAGAAACTATTGCATATATTGCGGGTTTTATTGTTCGGAAAACAGAACAAAACAATTTTCTGCTCTGAATGCATTGAAGCACTTTATTTCATCAGAAAAAAAATTGGAAATTGATAGATATAAAATCTAGCGGAGGACTTATATTTCCTTCTTGGGATACCATTAAAATATGTAAAGAGACTGAGATACTTTTCAGAAGATATTTGAATATGTATCCTCTGTCAGAAATTAATACTTCTAAAGTCGAAACTATAATTACAGATGTTTTAATTAAATGTCTTGATGTAAACATCTTTGAAAGTTTAAAAAATCATGCTCTGGATACTGAACCCGAGCATAATCATCTATTCTATTTAGTCAAATGTATTGCTATGCATTACATAAATATACGGCTTCATTATGAAGCAAAACAGAACACCCTTTTTCTACACAAACAGAAAATACGACAGAAATTCACAAAACTGGTATTGTTTAAAGGGCAGTAAGCAAATTACCAACTGCATTGAGATTTTCTTTGAGTAATTTACAGTTTTTATATTCAGATGGAATTTGTCTGCATTCTGTTTCACAAACAGAGCTTGTTATGTCTTGAATGAACTGCTCATTAATTGAAGTTATGATGTAATATACCATACTTTTATTTGTTTTATTTATATATGTAATTTGAAGTTTCTATGCAATTCACTTTATCATTTCTATAAATTATTGTAGCTTCATTAACGACACAGATATTTCTTCCTTGAAAACTTATGTAGTTATATCCTGTTATTTTTTATAAAATAATATTATGTTATCAGCTAACTAGTAGTTACATATATCTATCATTTGTGCAATGCTTATAGTAAATTAGAATTTTACTATTGAATAAATTACTTTTCATGCACACAAAATTTTCATGAACTGAGATAACCTGATTATTTAATGATAGAAATATTGCATAACTTGTATATTCTATAACTTGCATGTCTTGTATATTTTATAATACAAAATAATGTTTGTATTTGCATATTTTATAGTTTTTATACATGATTTTTTCTTATGGAACTCTACATGTTAAATAAACTTTTTTTTTTTTTTGAATAAAATAAAAATGCTTATGATTAGTTTTTTATTTTTGAACAAATCAGCACCAGTCAATCTTTAACAGTGAAATCTTAATGTAAAAGTAGGCAAAGTGCTATTAAAATTCCTAATACATATGTGAAATAAATATCATTTGACTTAAATATGTATGAAATAAATGTAAAAACTAGACTGAACTTCCTAGCAAAAATTGAAAGATAAAATGAACTAATCATAGTTTACAAATTGAATTACTCTGAAATGCAGAGGAAAAATATCTGATATGTTGCCAAACAAATATATAAAACAAAAAATTAAAATACCTTGTTTTTTCTTTTGTAACAAAAAATACCTTCAACAATTAATATGTCAATAAAATAGAAAATAACTATTTATTAATGTATACAGTCCATAAATAAAAACAATAACTCAGCTTGTCATTACTTTTTTTTCAATTCATTTAAATTTCATTTCAAACAGTCCAACAAAAACTGAAGTCGGAGTCGGAGTCTACCTGTTTTTAGCGACCCCAGCTCCGACTCCGACTGCACAGCCCTGTCGCACACACATCATTTATGGTCCATCAAGCCAGATGATATATTATTTGAAAACCTATGGATTACTACCGCATGTTGGATTAACACAATCCGCACGTTCGAAAGGTTGGTAAGTAAACTCTTGACTTACTTATCAATATGGCTGAATTAAGATCTCCTAAAACAAATAAAAAACAGTAAAATCTAATATATCAAGGTTTAAAGAAAAAGTTAATTCAACTATTGAAGAAAGAGATACAGCCTTGCTACAGTTACATGAATCTAAAATTTCATATTTTCAAACAGAAGTAAAACAAGTTTTTGATTCTATATTCTCGCATTGTGATGCTAAAGACATTGATGCATTCACAACAGAGAAAGAAATTATACTGGACAATTTAGACGAAATTAATTTGATAATTAAAAGAAGTTCTGTAAAAACTAATACCAACGAGAACATTTCGTTTAAAGCCATTTCTGTTTCTGGAGTAAAATTTCCAAAGTTATCACATCACACATTTAGTGGAAAAATTGAAGAATGGAACGATTTCGAAGATTTATTTTCTGCAGCAGTTCATAAGAACAAAATTTTGACTAATGCGCAAAAATTGCTATATTTGAAAAGTTCTTGTAAATCAGATGCCTTAGACATTATTCATTCTATATCCATTTGCGACGCAAATTACAATATGGTGTCAAATTTATTAGTTGAATGCTACTCAAATCAAAAAAAAAAAAAAAAAAAGATCTGATAAATTCAGTAATTAAAAGGTTACCACAGACATGTGATTCAGCCCCTTCGCTTTTAAAATTTGTTGACAATATAAATGAATGTATAAGATCTTTGAAAGTGTTAGAACAAAATGAGCATGGTTTCAGCAATATGCTAATTCTCTATGTATTAGTTGAAAAGCTTGACAAAAGTACAAGATGCTGGTGGGAAAGATCGCTGGAGAAGGATGAAATAGGAACACTAGAACAGTTAACATTCTTTTTAAAAGAAAACTCGTGCATTTTGCACCATAACAAACCTCTAAATCACGAAGCATTCCTTTAATTCAAAAGCACTGACATCTCTTTGTGAAAATTCAAAAATTTGTTCTTACTGCAAAGGTGATCACATATTGTTAATATGTAATCAGTTTCTGAATTTATCGGTTAAAAAAACGGTTCTTTAATTTTTTATCATCACTTCATACATTTAATAATTGTAAAGGCATTAACGTATGCAAAAATTGCCATAAATAACACCATACATTATTGCATCTAGAAAGGGAAGATTGCAAAATCACCATGCATCGAATTCGTAGAATGTAAACCCTAATTTGAGCAAACATCTTTCGCCACATACTAATGTGTTTACTCGTTCTACAGATAATTTCAGGATTTCAGATTTTTATGTCGATGATGTTTTGACAGGAGCTTACACCTTAATGGAGGCTCAGAGCCCTACGATCACAGTTGATTGAATTATTTGCACACGATGGTTTTCAATTACACAAGTCGCACACTAATCACCCAGAACTCTTGCCTTGCTCTGAATTATTTGCACACAGTGGTTTTCAATTACACAAGTGGCACACTAATCAACCAGAACTCTTGCCTTGCTCAGGGGATAATACCGAATATTCATTTCACACTACAGATGAAGATTTGAACATCAAAATGTTAGGCTTGAGGTGGAACACAAGATTAGATTGCGTTCATTTCAAGTCATCTGTCAAGGAACCAGTCATGTACACGAAAAGAACAGTTCTTTCAGATATTGCTCGCATTTATGATCCTTTAAGATTACTCATACCAGGCCTAACCAAGGGTAAGATTTTCATTCAAAGACTGGAATAAAATGAATGTTAAAACTGGAATGGAATAAACCCCTACCTGAAAACATAATTAAGGACTGGCGAAAAATTCACCACTTCCATGTAATCGACAAATAAGTTAACAGTGAATAGGTATGTTTTATATGACAACTATTTTGAAGTAGTACAACGTCGCAATCTAAAGGGAAAGGTTTCATGATGTGAGTGAGGAGACTTTACTTGAATGTCTCATGTTCTCATGAGTTCGTATTTCAAGGGAAATAGAGTATTGCAAGGTCTGCTTATTGTTAAACTAAAATGTTAGGAATTATAATTTTTTCCCCTTGAAATCGTGGTTCAGTTTTAAAAAAGAAGTACCGGAGCTCATCTTATTTAGGTCATTCCGGCTAGAATTGTAATTTATCTTAAAAACTGAGAAGTATCAGAGCTGGGCTCCGGCGCAATTTAAGCACTGGTGTGTGTGTGTATATATATTATATATATATCAGGTCAGTCCATAAGTTCATGCGCATTAAGAGTATGCGTGGAATTCACTATGACGCATTTACTAAAACAATACAATTTTCGACCTGTTGAAACTTGTCATTGTTTGACTAACATATTATTCAGTTCATCACCAACTTTCGTAAATATCGAAAGCATTTTAGTACCCATAGAAAATGAATATAGATAATCAGTACAAACGTGCTGTGCTACATTTTTTATTTTCATGTGGTGAATCTGCGAGGTTTGCAGTGACAAAAATTAATAGTGTACATGGTGAACACACTATTAGTGTAAGGACTGCCCAGAAATGGTTTAAAAATTTAAAGTTGGAAAAAGCAGCATTGATGATGAACCTCCGTTCAGGACATTTTGAACTCTTAGAACCAAATCAAATGATTCATCAAATTCAGAAGTATATAGTGAACAACTTTACTGTCTAAACTCAGAATCGATCAGAAAACATGCCCACGAATTGGTGAATATCAAGAAAGTGTTTTTCATCATGATAACGCTAGACAGCATACTGGCTCGAAACAACGCTGCAAAAAATTAGTGAATTTAATTGAGGAGCGTTTGCCACATCCTGCTTACTACCCAGATATTGCCCTAAGTGATTTTCACTTATCTTATGGCCTTACAAAATTTTTTACTGGAAAAAAAATCAAATTCTAAACAGGATGTAACACAATGAACTTTCAAGTTTTTTGCATCAAAACCAGAGCCCTTCTACAGCAATGGCATAAAAAAGCTGTCTGTAGGATAGCGAGACATTGTAGATAATGGAGGAAAATATATAATTGATTAAAATGTTAAATCGTGATTTTTATATTATTAAAAAATTTACCAAAAAATGCATACGAATTTATGAACTGACCCAATATAATAATTTTCTCCATATACATAGCTTTAAAACTAGAAACAGAACTCACTTTTTAACCTCTTGCACAGTTTTCTCTAAATTCTTTACTTCTTTTTGCTTTACACATGGTCTATGAATAGGTGCTAATTTTGACTTTGGCACAGATGCATCTAAGCAATAAGATAAATTAATCTACAAAACAATTCATTTAGAAATAAATATGTAAATATAGCAAATAACAATTCAAAGACACTAAGAATTTAAAAATTTATGGCAAAGCTTCATAACTCTTTTAAAGTTTAAAATAAGTTTTAAAAAAATTGGTTACCAAGTTTTACAAATTTTTTAAAAGTCTCAATTATTCCACACAGGAACTCAGTAAACTTCTTCATTAATAAGAACCTAAATACAGTACAAAGTCTTTAGTCCGGACATCCATAATCCGGACCTCAAAGCAACAAACTTTCTGCGCATGCGTAAACGCATAATACCTTTACGCATGCACATATGCATTTACGCATGTGCGTTTAATGTATAACGAACGGCATAAGCTAGGCTAAAATTATCTAATTATCTATTTCAGTTAATGTTGCAGATTGCATTGTTCCTTAATCTTCTAATTGGATCCGGCTTATTATTTTTTGCAGACTGTTAGAGCAATTTTATAAAAAGTAAGCTTGAACTTTCGATTATGTCAAAAAGAGTTTCCGATTCTGGAGCTGTCAAAGGATCTACAAAGCGAAAGCATGTTTCGATGTCCATCAAACAAAAAACGGAATTGCTGCAAAAAATGGCTAAAGGCATATCCTTTGTTTCTCTAACCATTCTGAAATCTGTTTATCAATTTCACGCTGCGTTGCAGGGGGGGGGGACGTAGTGGCACGCAATGAACTGGAAGTTGATCCGTCAGCACTATCCTCATATCCAGAGCAGATGTTTTTATTTTATTCCGCTTATAATTCCTTACTAAATGTAGTATTTCATCTCAATGTACTCCATCTTTGATATGATTTAAATCAAATTCCTTGTCATTATAAATACAGTCAAAAGTCGTTAATCCGGACTCGTCGGGACTTCGGCAATTCCGAATTATCGATTTTTCCGGATTATAGATCATCAGTTTAAATCTGGTAAGATGGCATGCAGAAATTATAAAATTAAAAATATGAAACAGTAATTTATGAAATAAAGAAAAATTATGATCTAAAGGGTATCAAAATTAAAAAAAAAAAAAAAAACTTAATATTTATTTGTTTACTACATTAAACATTTGTTTCAATGTAAGTTGTTTAAGTTGATTCGTTTGTTCTTATATTTTCTCTTTAATTCTATAAACATACATAATTTCTTGTTCAGTTACAAAGTTCCACCTATCGTAAATGGTATTTTCTGGATTTAGAACCATACTACAGCTTTCGCCGTCCGTTAATTGATTGATGATTGGGGCATTGTGGTTGCAATGAAAAACTTTTGTTATATCATCTTCATTTATTACCACTTCTCCACATTTCTTTACAAAATTCAATAACTGAAAAATTTCACCATTAGTTTGCGATGTCCGAAACCTTCAAAGACACAGCTATCATCTTCATCGTCCTCACTATGAAATATGGTAGTTGGCCATAAATTATGCCAAGCATTTTTTAACATATCTAGAGACATCCTCCCAATGCGCATGCACATGCTTAAAGCATAAAAAAAAAAAAAAGTTTGTGGCTTTGAGGTCCGGATTATAGATCATTCTGGATAATGAGCATCCGGATAACGGACTTTGTACTGTATAAAGTTCAATTATTATTATGACATTTAATTGTCACAATAATAATTAATTTCTCTTATGACATTTAATTGTCATAAGAGAAATTAATTATACATATGAAGCACCATATTTTTTTCATATGCTATTTAAATTCTTAACAATCTCATTTTAAAATTCTTTATTCAATATAGTCTCAAAGTGATAATATGCTGTCAATGACAACAAATGCTGTATTTAAGCCATTCCAGGTTTAAAAAAAAAGTTCATTAATTGCAATTTAAAAATCAAATATAAAATGAAATCCTATTTTTTTTTATTAACGTTTATATCAATGGTAATTTCTTGAAATAATATGAAACCATGTAAGTTAATGAATTAGTATCCAAAAAAATTAACACGAGGAGAAAAACAGTTATGTTTGACAAAATGGCAAAAATTAATAAATATGAGGTCTGCAGAATTTAAATGAATTCTCCATAAAAAAAATGAATATTAAAAGATGTTTTAGACAGTTGTACCAATTTGGAGTTCTCAGTAATAATCAAAGGCATTAGTTAAAAGATGTCAGTTTGATCATCCTTGAATTAACAAAACTCTTTTTGATGAAGATTTCATTTGAATTAAATATACTTTTCTTTCGAAAACAAGATAAATGCTTTCACACTTCAATTTTGAAATATTTCAATTTCAAACTAATTTGTTTACATCTGGTTGTAACGAAAGTTTTCCACCAAAAAACGATCTTAATAAAGTTAGAAAAAAATATGAAAGCAGTACCTTTAGTGCAAGTAGTAATTACCACCCAAATCTATGATATTCTGCCAATGTTTTGGTAGTTTTCCAAAGCCTTCACCCCAGAGACTTGGCGGCCCCAAGTCCAATAACATATCAACCTCATTTCGGACATCCTGCACAGAATGGAAGATAGTATGAACAGGATGTAGCTGCAGATGTAAAAAAGGTACATGTCCGAAAGAGCGATGTCAGGGCTATTGGAAGGGTGTGCCAAAAGATCCCACTCAAGTCCATATGGAGTCTAGCCGGTGAATGCAGACACATGCTATCTTGATGGAACATTACCTTTTCGTGCCAGAACTCAGTTCAACATTTTTTCTTGATAGTAGCGTCAACACAGACTAGCATCTTGCTGTACACCTTATCTGTATACCAGTCAAGAGTTTTACCTTTTTCTAGATACTCTTTGTGGATAACACCACAGCAATCCCACAAGATACAAAGCATGATCTCCTTGCTAGTCAAATTGCACTTTGCTACGCTACCGACAGGCTTACAGGGTACAGTTATTTTTGACTAAGTGGCAAAAAAAAACCCTTTCCGGCTTGTTGTTGAAGTGAATCCACTTTTCATCACAAATGACGATTGGGTCCAGAATTTTGTTCTTGCATTGATATTCGAGTAGATTAGTGCAGGCCTAAACATGTCCTTATCTGCTTGAGTCAGCTCATGCAGCATCCAGCGATTGAACTGATAAGTCAAGTTTATACAATGCATTACGAGATTAATGGACACGGCATTAACATCAACTGCTTAGCAAGCTGTCAAGTGGTTACATAATAATTTTGTTCCACAAGTTCTTGCAGGTGGGCCTCATCAACATCAGTAGGTCAGCCAGAATGCTCTGCTGCTTGAATGTCAAACTTTTGGTACTAAACCTTCACAATGTCATATGATACAACATTAGTATCTAAAGCTGTACATATGATTTGGTAACTCTCTGTAGCTGACTTTTTGCAACAGAATTGGAAGTAAATGATGGATCTAATCCGGTAGCGTTACAGTTCCATTTCAGTTGTACTTAATGATAACAGTACATTTTTACAAATTTCACAACACAGTGTTCTAAAGCAAGTCTCTTTCCTTCAAGTGCCAAAAATCGTTTGACAAAGTATGATTAAACACGCCAATGTGAGCTGTTTGCACTGACGATATTTGTAGTGGCGAGAACCTTTCATTATAACCTGATAATTACTTATGAATATAATTTCCTATAAAACTGCATGCACAAACAAGCATTTAAAATGGATGCAAAGAACCCTAAACCTAAATCCTAATTTTTCTGCAGAAAGAGGAGATTTTAAGTTTTAAACAGAAAATATACAGTGGTGGCCAAAATTGTGGCCACTTTTGGATATTTTTATGTTTTTGAACTTTGTATGCTTATAGAAAATGTTACGGTTCGCAAAATGCAAACTTGTATATATCATTTTAAAGAGAATGTATTACTGAATTCAATACAAAACACAAAATTCAATTATTTGCAATACAAAAAAGTTATATGTACTTTAATATAAATAAAAAACACAATTATGAAGTGGTTTGTAATGTCTAGCTTTCCTGGCCAATCACTGTTCTTGTTCTGACAACCAATCAAATGTTAGTAACTGCCAGTAGAAGCTGACATCATGTTTTACACTTGAAGCAATTCATTATTTTGCTTTGTTCTGTAGAAGGAGGACCTGTTTCTTATACACTGCAATTACAAGTAGGAATTTTTGTAAAAATTTTTAATATTTAGTCAAGAAGCAATGACATCAAATAAAAGAGTAGATTGGACACCTAGAAAGAGATGTAATATTATTGTGTTACGAGAAAGTGGTATTTCCTATGCTGAAATTGCAAGACAGGTGGATGGTTCAGTGACTACATCTGGAGTCCGAAAGTTTTGTTTGCGATATCAGGTGACAAATTCAATAAAAAAACAAAGAAGGAAAAGGACAAAAAAGGTGCACCACATCTACTGATGACAGAAGAATAAAAAGACTATGTCTCCAAGATAGAAAAATGTCATCAGTGGCCATCAAAAGTGATCTGAATGATGCTGGTGTTTCTGTCAGTTCAAGAACAATCAGGACAAGATTAACAGATGTTGGACTGAGAGGTAGAATTCCACAAAAAAAGCCTTATCTTAATTTTCAGCAATGGAAAAAAAGGCTACAGTGGGCAAAGGAACACATTAATTGGACAGATGATCAGTGGTCACAAGTTATATGGAGTGATGAAACAAAGATATCGTTATTCGGTACTGATGGGCGAAAATATGTAAGACGTAGAATAGGAGAAGAGCTACATCCTGACTGCATTCAAGCAACTGTGAAGAACCCAGTTAGTGTTATGATTTGGTCATGCATGTCAGCAGATGGTATTGGTGGCCTTCATGTCATCGATGGGACACTGAATGCCAGAAAATACATTGACACTATTCTAGAGCCAAAACTTCTACCTTCCATCAGAGATCTCTTTCCCAACAATGCTTCGTTTATTTTTCAGCAGTATTCTGCTCCTCGCCACACGGCTAAAGTATCGAAAGAGTGGTTTCGTACAAAGAGCATTAAATTGTTGTCAGGAAACAGTCCTGACCTCAATCCTATTGAAAATTTGTGCACCGTTTGAAAACTCTTGTCCGAATGAGGCGCCCATCAAATAAAAGGGAACTAAATGAGGCTATATTTGTTTCCTGGCATCATGTAATAACGAAAGAAGAGCTTAAAACTATTGTCAGCTCAATGAAACGTCGATGTGAAGCTATAATAAAAAATAAAAGGTACCCTACTAAGTACTGATAACTCAGTGCAATCATCACTATCTAATGTACATCGATAACTATTATCATTTAACTTTTTTTGTATTGCAAATAATTGAATTTTGTGTTTTGTATTGAATTCAGTAATAAATTCTCTTTAAAATGATATATACAAGTTTGCATTTTTGTGAAACGTAACGTTTTCTATAAGCATACAAAGTTCAAAATCATAAAAAATTATAAAAGGTTCCACAATTTTGGCCACCACTGTATATAGAAAAAACTGGCTTAATACTGTAAATTATTTTGTGTAAATTCTCTTGAATTACTTTTGGATTTTTTGAAACCATAACTGTTTTGCTACAATTTCAAAATTTTATTTTTATTAATTTCTAATTATAAGCTTATCAGATTCCCATTATCCATATGTCCTACTGTAGTTCTTCAATGGAATTAGAAGATAATGCTGATGTGGGCTGCTTCTCCTTTATTGACAATGAAAAATCTCCAAATAGGATTTTTCTACTCTTCAGAAATTTCTTCGACTTTTTTTTGAGGGGGGGGGCTGCTCCTAATGAATATCATTTCATTCCTCTTCCACACACACACACAAAAAAAAAAAAAAAAAAAAAAAACTATTTTCTTATGTCTTTAATTTTTTATGTATGAATTTTAGTTATCACACATGGATAAAGTGGAATAAGTCGATCAAAATATCCTATTTAATACTGCCATAATTTCGTATAGAAATGTACCTTTGTTATACACACAAAGTAAACAAAAAGGTAAATATGTAATTTTGTATAAAGAATACATATTAAGCTGGTGCATATGCATAATATGATTACTTAGAAAGTTTTACAAAGATTCTGAATTCTTAGCAATTAACTCCATTAAAATACAAACTGACATGAAAATCATTCAAATATTTCTTTTCTCTTTTAAAAAATTAAATTCACCCATTTAATAAAACCAATTTCTTATTGTTATATGTACTTAAAAAAAGAAAAAAATACATAAATCAGTTATTGCCAAAATGATAGTCCACCAATTCCAAAAGTTTGAAAAACACTCTTACACATTTAGATTAAAATATTTACTTTTATATCTAGCAGCCAGAAAAATACTACAGTCAAGTTATTTAACTGTATGCATGCAATGTGTACCAAAATGCTTCAATATTCGTGAAGTACCATCTTATATTTATTCTATGCAACAGCACTATTGTCTTCTCAAAAGTGCTAAGAAACAACCTGCAAAACTAATCAACTAAGGTCAACTAAGGTCTTATCAGATGGGACAAAATTGGGAAAACTGAGCTTATTAAAATGTATATTCGTATTTTATGTGCTTTTTAACATAAAACACATATGTGAGTAATACCATCATAATTTAGTAAGATCAAAATTATGCCATTTAGGGTTCTCATAGGCACATCTATAGGTCAAATGTATGTGCCATACAAAAAAAGATAAAATTACAATTTAAATTTTCCGGACACATTTGATCCATCTGATTTTGATTTTTTGATCCAGAACCACAAAAATTTCTCTCCTAAAATGAATTCTTTAGTATTCTTTATATATATATATAGAGAGAGAGAGAATTGAGACTAAAGTTTTTTAGACATAGTTTATTTAATTCATTAAAAATTTGTAGCGCAAAGTTTCAATTGTCTGTTTCGGCGAAACACGTAATGGGCTTAGCTTGGTTTGAAATTCATTTAAAAACAAATTTCCCTTGAAAAGCCAAAATGAACTTCGAATTGGGCTAATTAACCATTTTCCGCTTCTTAATTTTAATATTTTTTGCATTTTACCTTGTTAAATCGATTAGTATTTTACTGTGATTTATAATTTACTTTTTATTTAGCATATAGCCTATTATTTTATCCTCATTCAATTGATTTGCGTTTTTTACTGTGTTAAAATTTACCTAATTTATTTAGCATATAGCTTTTAATCAATTTTAACTTGTAAATATTCAAATATTTTTTCTCCCCTTTCACACTTTTCATAGCAACTAAATATGCTTATGTTGGAGTTTTCTCGGAGCCACAGCTTTTGGTTAACTTTTTGGCGAGCTTACTAAAATTTACTTTCTAATTTCCTTAATTTTGCAGCACAATGCGCAAAATTTTGACCTAAATTGGTCTTTTTAGTTTTGTTCTTACAACCTTACTTATAATATATATATATTTTAAAAGCACTTAAGCAGTTCCATTATGTCGTTCAAAACATAGAGGATCCGAAGTAGATAATGACCAAATATTACAGAACATAATCGTTAGTTTTTAGATAAGTGAAATATTCAGAAGAGAGTTTGCAGGAGAGATGTATAATATATACCTTCTGAAACATCATTTATTAACTATATTAAAAGCATAAATGTTAATAACCTTATTGCAAAATATTATTGAGAAACAAATATTGTTTCTGTATGGGTCATTTTGGAAAGAATTACACTATTGTAACATGAAAAATAAGTGAAAGATATTACAAAGAATAACTAGGCAACAAATTTATTCTTTTATCTCAGATTCAGTTTTATGCAAACAGGAAAATAATAACACCAGAAAATATTTCAAGTATCATTACTCAAAATTTAATTGAAAGAAGACTTAAATTTTAGAAATGGGGAGCATTTACTTATTTGCAAAATGTGGCAAATTTTTAACTGTAATTAATCTTCATAATATCATAATATTTTAACTTTTAATTAAAGTGATATGCTATCTCATTTGAGGAAAATTTTTAAACATTATTATAAATGTGTATACTCACAGTTTAGCAAATAGAGAAAGAGTCAGTCTTTCAAAACATTTAAAACCTTTGCACAATAGCTATTTCCATAATATCTGAAACTGCGAGCATGATGAACAAATTAAGCACATCAATGATAGTCATTTTCTCTAAGGTGATTATGTCCATGGGAGAGCTAAATTACTTGGATTTACAGATGATTTCAGAACATTTCAGTAAATAATTTCAAAGAATAGAAAAAGACCAGTAGATATGAGAATGTGACAAAATTTAAAATGTCTGAATCTTCCTTGATTTGGAATGTTTCAATGAAACGGATGGATGGTTAACTGAGCTTATTGTAATAAAAAATTTTGATTAATTATTGTTCTTTGATTATATAAAGCTTGTATTTCTAAATGATTATGGATTCATGATCAGGATCCTAGCAGTTGCCAGATGCAACAGCTACTTAACTTGATACTGTACATTGTTGCATTTTAAAACAAATCGGAGATTGTAAATGAAAATATTAATGTGCAAACTTAAGTAATAAGCATAATACCTGTTTCCTCTGATCCTTTTATTACACCCATTGAAACAGATTTTCGAGCCATGCATGGGACATCAGTTTGAGGCTTCCGAGGCCATGCAAATTGTGATTTATATTCAGTAGTTTCACAAGAAGGCTCAGTAATATTTGGAAATTCATCAGTCTTTGGTAACACAGAAACACAACCAGAAGAAATTGGAGGAAAACTTTGAATCATAATCTATATTCAAAAAAATGTAGTGTACAAAAAATCATAAACATAAAAATGCACTAGATGAGCTTTAGTGAATAATTTTATTGAATAAAATTATGATGATGAACAAGTTAACATAACTAAAGAAGCAAAATAATCTACATAAAATTTTAAAATCTCCTTCATAGTTCTATTTATAATACTCGTTAAAATATTGTAGGTACCCTCTTAACCAATCACCACTGTACCAAGTCTTTGAGTGGATAATGAAATGGCTTATATACAATCCAGCAAAACATTACAAGATGAGTAGAAAAACAAACTGACGAAACTGTATTATTCTGTTTCACTGAATATGCTTTTAAAAATACATATTTAAAGAAGGAAAATATTACACTTCAAAAGAAATCAATAATTTTCATTAATTTTCTTTTGCCTTTTTTTATCCTGTTATTTATCAATTATTACTGAAATTATACATTTCTTTCAGGAACTCAACTGCAATATAGTCTTTCTGCTACTCAATGTACTATGTAGTCAACTCCATTGCTACTTGGCTAATTCTGGTTCTTTTTCTTTCAGGATTTCTTTTTCTTTTCATTTACCTTCGCTGATAACTACCTGAATGATATTATCTTCATTTAACATGTTTACTACCATCTAGTAGAGTACTCGCATTTGGTCAAATGAGTTTACTCGCTATGAGATAACTCGTTATTAATCGCCTTACCTAACTCACCGAATGCAAATTTTGCCATACCAAATTCGGTGACTGGAAAAATGCCGACAGGAAAAACGCCCACAGAAAAAAATGCTCACAGAATAATGCTTACAGTTATAAATGCTCCCAGACAAAAAGCTCACACAGAAATATGGCCACATAGAAAAAAGCTCACATGGAAAAATGCTCACTTAGAAATATGCTCACATGAAAAAAAGCCCACTGGTAAATAAAATATATAGAAATATCCTTACATTAATCAATCAATAATTAATCGATTTGAACATCGTACACCTACTTGAGTTTTTCAACGAAAAAATATTTAAATTACCAAAACATCTATGATATATATATATAAAAAACTGTATAACTTATGTGTAGATTCAGTTGCTATATAAGATTAACAAATGGACCGTTTTGGATTATGAAAAGGAGAGAAGGAAGAAAAATTAAACAGAATATACAGTAAAAAAATATTACAATTTTAATTGTAAAAAAAAATAAACTAATACATATTTTATAATCTAAACATTTAGAAGAATAAGTAAATATAAATAATTATTTTATTTAAAATACCTTATTATATATAAGTCATAAATATATATTTCAAGAAGTTATAAACACATAAAATTACTGAATATATGTAGATATTATGTAATATCTAAATTATGTAAATATATGTAATATCTAATTTATGTAAATAATATTTATAAATATCTAATTTTATCATCGATTTCATCATAGTTTCTCTTATATGATCCGCGGTTACCAAATGTAAGTTTACATATTTCCTTTTTTTTATTATTTTTTTTTAACTTCAGCAAACCCTGTATTTGCAATAGCTATTAATAAACGTTGACAGGCTAAATCTTTTTTCAGTCTGTCAAATAAAAACCACATAGTGGGATGGCTGCAATTAAATAATGAATTTAGTACCTTATGAAAGCCTTCATACCGATTTGTGGTTTTAGAAGGTTTTTCGAAAGCTGCTTCATAATGATTCCTCACTTTAATTGGAAACTGTGGTCTGCTAAAACTTTTTTGGCTCCAAACTTAAATAACTACATTCAAACATCAATTCTTGTAGATACACATCAAAAGTACGCAAAAATAGTTTTTTTAAAAAAAAAAAAAAAAAAAAAAAAAACTATTGGCATTTACAAGAATAAAAATGTTGTACAGGGGCAATGGTATAAAATATTATAGTACATGAAAAATTTTATTATAGTTTTCATTCTTTTATATACCGCCCCTGAAAAGGTTAATGTGGGCATTTGTCCAATAATTTTTTCAAATGATTAAATAATTTTTCTTTTAAAAATTAAGTAGGTGTACGATGTTCAGATCAATTAATTATTGATTGATTAATGTAAGGGTATTTCTACATATTTTATTTAACAGTGGGCTTATTTCCATGTGAGCATATATATATGTGAGCTTTTTTCAGTGTGAGCATATTTCTAAGTGAGCATTTTTCCATCTGAGCTTTTTACTGTGTGGGCATATTTCTGTGTGGGCTTTTTTCCTGTGAGCATTATTCTGTGATAGAATCACCAAATTCATGTAATCTTTAGACGTTTGGCTTATAGGAAGAGACTAAATAACAACTGAATACTGAAATACTGAAATGGCTCATTTATTTCTCAAAATGTAGGTACAATAACTAAATGTCAAGAATGTAATTCTTTTTATTCATTTAAGATATGTTGTAAACAGACTGCTGAAATTCTTGTTCAGTTACCTGTGTAAGACTAATGGAAAATAACATTGCACAAACAAGAGTTTTGCATAAATGTGAAGAACAAATGAATATTATTTATCTAATAAAGATTTATCTTAATTTAGGTTAAAATAACATGCTGAATAAATATTAATTTAGAAGTCAAACTTCAAAAATCAGCGTTGTATTTTCAAATTTTCACAGGACTAGTTTCGATGATTTTACCAAACTATCAACCTCATCTGCTAAAGTGCAAATGAACGTTATAAGATACAGTGAAAAGATAAAATAAGAATGGTTGGACAGAAGTTATGCTACTGGTGCCATCTATTGATGAAACACGAAAACTAAAACATAATTTCCTTACAAAAGCTGAAGGTGAAAATGGATTGGAATTGGGATTGTTAACTAGAACAGGAAAAAAAAATAAATAAATGTGAAATGCCTTTAGAAATCGAATTCACCAATGGGGGATTTTCTTTTGAATAATTTTGGCTGCAGAAAAATGGAAAGAATGATTTTTGGATCAACAAATACTGGGTAACAAAAAACATCTGTGTTTCCTTTTTCCTAACATATGCCTTATGTTCTTTAACACGAAATTTTAAAGCTATTTTAGTAAATAAAACCATAATATTTACCGGCAAGGAGTCCGGTAAATACTCCAGGAATTCATAGCCGGAATTCGCTTCTTATGTATGGAACTCGGAATTTTATTGATAGGAGAATAAACGACCTGAAAGTTTAATTTCTGTAAAATACTTGAAATTTTATAGCAAATTGATGGAAAAGGGATGACAACAGAATTTGTATAATTTCCTAAAACAAAGTGTACCTTCTGGTGTGTTGAGATGAGAATTTTTAACTGCTTGGTTAAAAGCTGCTGTCAATAGTTACTCCTTTTAAATAATTTAGTTCTTGATCAACAGCCAATTTAGAGGAGCAGACTTGAAATGCACAGAAAACAAAGGAATAAAATGAAGCTAATTTTTGTTTAGTCAGATGAAATGATTTAAAGTGTGGTGGAAGGCAAATTGATGAAAGTTAAATGATAAAAGTTAAATGATGGTAAACAATAGTATTGAAGTTGAATGTACTACTGTTCACAAGTTGTAGTTAGATGTAGTACTGTTCTACTTCCCACATATATCTCTTTGAACAAAAACTCTAATTTTTTGCAGGTTTGCTTAGAAATAGATCAATTTTAAGATGATGGTAAAAATTCTATCGGTTATAAAAAATGGGCAAATTTTATTTGGAATGAACCTAAACTTCGAAATGTGAAAGGAAAAACCAAATAAGTTTAATAAAAAAAAAAGATATTAAATATATACCAAATTCAATTAACAAGAAGCAGCTAAAATTTTGAAGAGCTTTTTACTTCCTTGTACGAAGTAAAAAGGAAGTATTGTAATAGCAAAAAGCTTCAGACAGCATATTTCAACGAAAATATCCACTTTGACTGCTTTCGAATGCAATTTAACGATGTTTTTGCGTGATATCTGTACCTAAGGACAGAATAAAAGACTCTTTACCTCCAAAAAAACTAAAAAAGTGCTTTAAAATGAATTCTGAAGAGAATTTTTCATGGCGTCTGTACAAACATACGTACGTACGTATCTCGCATTACTCAAAAACGAGTAGCCTCAGAACGTTGAAATTTTGTATATAAGACTACTATAACATGTAGATGTGCACCTCATATTTTGGTTTCAATCGGCCGCGCCAAACGTATATAAATATATTTATAAATATATTCACTCTGTTACCTGGCTCAGTGATCTCAGTTTCTTTACTCTAATATGTTTGTAAATTGTACATTTTTTGCTTTAAAAATGATTTAATTACGTTGTTTTTATCTTCCGGTTAAGGATTTTATGCCTTTAGTAAATCTGTATGCAATATTTTTAGAATTATCAAAAATTTTAAAATTGTTTAAGTGCCGCTAAGCCTAATTCGATTGCGGTCATTGCTCTTGTTTACATCTGAAACAGCTGAGTAGCGGATTTGTTGCCAATCTAGAGAAACTTAGCTTCGCAACAACAAAGATAACGCCTTCATTTATTATTTAAATCATGCTTAATCCTTTCTGGAATTTTATCGGGAAAATAAGCGTTTAAGATTTACTTCGTAATTTTTAATACAGATATTTTGAGTTTTTATGTATTTTTGCCTTGTCGCGAAGTGAAAAATGAATTAATTGAATGAGAAATACTCAATCGTCTGTGAAAAACTGTTTCTTTTTTGTTTTGTTTGCTTAATTTCTTTTATACATAGTTCTAGCTTTATTATAGTATTTGAATAGAACAAGTGGCAACGATTAGATAATTCTTTAAATGATATAAATTTTGTGTATTCTGAGTTATAATATGAACGAAATATAATACTGTTAAGTAAACCTAGTGCCAGAGTGTCGCTATGGTAAACAAAGTGAATTTTAAAGAATGCATTTATTCTATTGTGGTTTATGCGCTGCCGGCAAAGTAGGTTTAATTCAATCTAATAAGTTTAAATAAAATGCAAGAAAAAATGTATATAATTTAATATTCCGTGCAAGGAAGTCATGTGGTGTACACATCAGATTTT